TCTGCATATGTGGTTAACCGCTTTTCGCATAAATTGAACCTTCGCAGCGAGAGTAGGGGAGGCCAGTTCTCAGATCATTCGATTGACCAGTCGAGTGCCTCAAGGTTCGGCGCTCGGACCGTTACTCTTTATCTTATTCATCAACGACTTGGCGGGGTTAACAAACTCACCTTGTTTCGTCTTCGCGAATGATGTGAAGGTGGTGGGATTGAGTGAGCGATATTGAACGGGTGGTTGAGTGGTCAAATGAATGGGACTTCGCACTGAATGCGGCCAAGTGTCAACTATTGACCAAGCAAACAGATCCCTTAGTTGCTGCCGGAACATGGAGAGTGTCCAAATTCCAACCCGTAGCATCTGCCAAAGATCTTCGGGTAGTAATGAATTCAGATTTCAGCTGGGGCAGTCAATGCGAAATCGCAGCTCGCAAGGCACGGGGAGAACTTTTCCGGCTCACATCCGCTCTTTCTTGCAGAAAACCGGAAATCCTCGTCCCGTTATACAAGGCGATAGTAAGGCCTCATCTGGAATACTGTGTCCAAGCCTGGGCACCTCTGCACAAAAAGGACGCTGTCTGCCTAGAGAACGTGCAGAGACTAGCTACAAGAATAGTAGAGGGACAGAGAGGTGAATCGTACCAGGAAAGATTAAGGGCCCTCGATCTATTCTCGTTAGAAAGGAGGCGACATAGAGGAAATCTAATAGAAGCGTTCAAAATTAGGAGGGGTTTCTCTGGGATTCCCCCCGAGGAACTATTCACTGATGCCCCGTACGCTGGTAACATGAGAAAGCACAAATTGATGAAGAAAAGGAGTGGTTTAGGTGCGAGGTCCAAATAATTCAGCAATAGAACAGTAAATAGGTGGAATAGACTATCTGAGGAACTAGAAAAACTGCCTAGTAATCACGCCTTCAAACTGCCTTTGGACAAGAGACGACAAAAATAGTTTCCGAACCAAAAATACTGCACAGAATGCCACTATAAGGTACACAAAATCATTTCTCTGCATCCCATATGGAAACCATTCAAATTGAAACAATCTCGCGGAGTTAGGGAGGAAATCACCCAAATACCACTCACAGAGGCATCCATTTCTCCGATTCACTGACAGCCCTGTCCGTTTGTCCACTCGCACGGAACTCGAGAGGTGAGTGGTAGAAGACCTGTAGTGAGCGCAGTTGGGGATGACCTCACCCAATTAACACTCACCGAGGCATCCATTTATCCGATTCACTGACAGACCTGTCCGTATGTCGACTCCCACGGAACTCGAGAGGTAAGTGGTAGAAGACCTGTAGTCATCGGATTTGGGGATGACCTCACTCAATTACCACTGACCAAATCATCCATTTATCCGATTGACTGACAGCACTGTCCGTTTGGCCCTTCCCACGGAACTCGAGAAGTGAGTGATCAAAGACATGGAACGAGCGGATTTATGGATGATCTCACCCAATTGCCACTCACTGAGGCATCCATTTATCCGATTCACTGACAGCCGGGTCCGTTTCTCCACTCCCACGGAACTTGAGAGGTGAGTGATAGCAGACCTGTAGTGAGCGGAGTTGTGGATGACCTCACCCAATTACCACTCACCGAGGCATCCATCCATCCGATTCACTGACAGCAATATCTGTTTGTCCACTCCCAAGGAACTCGAGAGTTGAGTGGTAGACGACCTGTATTGAGCGGAGTTGGGGATGACCTCACCCAGTAAACACTCACCGAGGCATCCATTTATTCGATTAACTGAGAGCACTGTCCGTTTGGCCACTCCCAAGGAACTCGAGATCTGAGTGGTGGAAGACCTGTAGTGAGCGGAGTTGGCATAACCTCACCCAATTACTCCTCACCAAGTATCCACTTATCCGATTCTTGACAGCCCTGACCGTTTGTCCACTCGCACGGAACTCGAGAGGTGAGTGGTAGAAGACCTGTAGTGAGCGGAGTTGGAGATGACCTCACCCAATTGCCATTCACCGAGGCATACATTTATTCGATTCACTGGCAGACCTGTCCGTTTTTCCACTCCCACGGAACTGGATAGGTGAGTGGATGAAAACCTGTAGTGATAGCATTTAAGGATGACCTCACCCAATTACCATTCACCGAGGCATCCATTTATCCGATTGACTGACAGCACTGTCTGTTTTTCCTCTCCCACGGAACTCGATAGGTGAGTGGCAGAAGATCTGTAGTGAGCGGAGTTGGGGATGATATCACCCAATTACCACTCACCGAGGCATCCATTTATTCGATTGACTGACAGCATTGTCTTTTTGTCTCTTCCCACAAAACACGAGAGTTGAGTGGTAGACGACCTGTATTGAGCGGAGTTGGGGATGACCTCACACAATAACCACTCACCGAGGCATCCATTTATCCGATTCCCTGACAACTTTTTCCGGTTATACAATCCTACGGTACTCGAGGGTAAGTGGTAGAATAGCTTTAGGAAGTGGAGTTGGGGATCAACTCACCCAGTAAACACTCAACGAGGCATACATTTATCCGATTTACTGGCAGCCCTGTCTGTTTTCCGCTTCCACGGAACTCGAAAGGTGAGTGGTAGAAGACCTGTAGTGAGCGGAGATGTGGAGTATCTCACCCAATTAATACTCACCGAGGCACCCCGTTATCCGATTCACTGACAGCACTATCTTTTTGTTCCTCCCGACGGAACTCGAGAGTTGAGTGGTAGAAGACCTGTATTGAGCGAAGTTGGGGATGAACCCACTAGATTTCCACTCCGGAGGCATCCATTTATCAGATTGATTGAGGGCCCTGTCCATTTGTCCACTCTCGCGGAACTCGAGAAGTGAGTGCTAGAAGAACTGTAGTGAGCGGAGTTGGGAATGAACTCACCCAATTACCACTCACAAAGCATCCACACATCCGATTCACCGAGAGCCCTGTCCGTTTGTCCACTCGCACGGAACTCGAAAGGTGAGTGGTAGCAGACCTGTAGTGAGCGGAGTTGGGGATGACCTCACCCAATTACCCCTCACCAAGTATCCACTTATCCGATTCTTGACAGCCCTGACCGTTTGTCCACTCCCACGGAACTCGATAGGTGAGTGGTAGAATACCTGTTGTGAGCGGAGTTGGGGATGACCTCACCCAATTACCACTCACCGAGGCATTCATTTATCCGATTCACTGACAGCACTGTCCGTTTGTCCACTCGCACGGAACTCGAGTGGTGAGTGGTATAATATCCGTAGTGAGCGGAGTTGGGGATGAGCTTACCCAATTACCACTCACCGAGGCATCCACTTATCCGTTTCACTGACAGCTTTGTCCGTTTGGCCACTCCCACGGAACTCGAGTGGTGAGAGCTAGAAGACCTGTAGTGAGCGGATTTGGCGATGAACTCACCCAATTACCACTCACCGAGGCATCCACTTATCCGTTTCACTGACAGCACTGTCCGTTTGGCCACTTCCACGGAACTCGAGTGGTGAGGGGTAGAAGACCTGCCGTTTACGGATGCCCTCGCCCGATCACCACTTTCCGAGGCATCCATATATTCGATTGACTGAGAGCCCTGTCCGTTTCTCCACTCCTACGGAACTCGAGAAGTGAGTGGTAGAAAACCTGTATTGAGCGGAGTTGGGAATGACATCACCAAATTACCACTCACCGAGGCATCCATTTATCCGATTCACTGACAGCCCTGTACGTTTGACTACTCTCAGGTCACACGAGACGTGAGTGTTCGAAGACATGTAGTGAGCGGAGTTGGGGATGAACTCACCCGATTTACACTCACCAGGCATCCATTAATCCGATTCACTGACAGCACTGTCCGCTTGGCCACTCCCACGGTACTCGACAGGTGAGGGGTAGAAGAGCTGTAGTGAGCGGAGTTGGGGATGACTTTACCCAATTACTACTCACCGAGGCATACATTTATCACATGGACTGACAGCACTGTCCGTTTTTCCGCTCCCACGGAACTCAACAGGTGAGTGGTAGAAGACCTGTAGGGAGCGGAGTTGGAGATGAACTCTCCCAATTACCACTCACCAGGCATCCATTTATCCGATTCACTGACAGCACTTTCCGTAAGTCCACTTCAACGGAACACGAAAGATGAGAGGTGGCAGACATGTAGTGACCGGATTTGTCTATGACCTCATTCAGTTACCAATCACCGAGGCATCCAGTTATCCGATTCAATGACAGCACTGTACGTTTGACTACTCTCAGGTCACACGAGACGTGAGTGTTCGAAGACATGTAGTGAGCGGAGTTGGGGATGACCTCACCCGATTTACACTTACCAGGCATTCATTAATCCGATTCACTGACAGCACTGTCCGTTTTTCCACTCCCACGAAAATCGTGAGGTGAGTGGTAGAAGACCTGCAGTGAGCAGAGTTGGGGATGACCTCACCCAATAACCACTCACCGAGGCATCCATTTATCCGATTGACTGACAGCACCGTGTTTTTGTCCCTTCCCACGGAACTCGATAGATGAGTGGTAGAAAACCTGTAGTGAGCGGAGTTTGGGATGACCTCAACCAATTACTACTCACCGATTCATTCATTTATCCGATTCACTGACAGCCTTGTCCGTTTAAACACTCCCACGGTACTCGAGAGTTGTGTGGCAGAATACATGTAGGGTGCAGAGTTGGGCATGTCCTCACCCAATTACCACTCACCGAGGCATCCATTTATCCGATTCACTGACAGCACTGTCCGCTTTTACACCCCCACGCTACTGGAGAGTTGAATGTTAGAAGACAAGTCGCGTGCGGAATTGGGGATGAGCTCACACAATTTCCACTCACCGGGGCATCCAGTTATCCGATTCACTGACAGCCCTGTACTTTTCTCGAGTTCCACGGAACTCGAGAGGTGAGTGGTAGAAGACCTGTAGTGAGCGGAGTTTTGGATGACCTCACCTAATTACCACTCACAAAAGCCTCCATATTTCCGACTGATTGAGAGCACAGTTCGTTGGACTACGCCCACGGAACTCGAGATGTGAATGTTAGAAGAGCTGTAATGAGTGAAGTTGGGGATGACCTCACCTAATTACCACTCACAGAGGCATCCATTTATCCGATTGACTGAGAGCACTGTCCGTTTGTCCACTCCCACGGAACTCGAGAGTTGAGTGTTAGAAGACATGTTGCGTGCGGAGTTGGGGATGAGATCACACAATCACCACTCACCGAGGCATCCATATATTCGATTGACTGAGAGCCCTGTCCGTTTTTCCACTCCCACATAACTCCAGAGGTGAGTGGTAGAAGACCTGTAGTGAGCGGAGTTGGGGATGATATCACCCAATTACCATTCACCGAGGCATTCATTTATCAGATTGACTGACAGCCCTGTCGTTTTATCCCTTCCCAGTGAACTCGAGAGGTGAGTGGTAGAAGACCTGTAGTGAGCGGAGTTGGGGATGAACTCACCCGATTTACACTCACGAGGCATCCATTTATCCAATTCACTGACAGCACTGTCCGCTTGGCCACTTCCACGGAACTCGAGTGGTGAGAGGTAGAAGACCTGTAGTGAGCGAAGTTGGGGATGAGCTTACCCAATTACCACTCACCAGGCATCCATTTATCCGATTCACTGACAGCGTTTTCCGTAAGTCCACTTCAACGGAACACGAAAGATGAGAGGTGGCGGACATGTAGTGACCGGATTTGGCGATGAACTCCCCGAATTACCACTCACCGAGGCATCCATTTATCCGATTCACTGAGAGCCCTGCCCCTCTTTCCACTCTCATGGA